TTGTTTGTACAATTCAGAGCATTGTTCAACAAGTTGCTTACAGGAAGGATGGGTTCACTTTCTATCCAGCCCTGGTCCAAGTGCTTTATCCAATATAGGGACGCAGGGGAGCTGGAGCCTATCTTGGCAAGCAATGGACATGTGGGTGATGCATCCCGGATGGCATGCCAGTACATTGCAAGGCACACACAGAAACAAATGCACTCACACTCACACGTGGGATAGTTCAGTATTGTACGAACCCGGAGTACCTGGAAGAAAGTCACATAAACCTGAGGAAACTTTACACATGTACTGTACTTTTCTAGCTATGACTGTATCAATAAAAAATATACTGCTACTCATAAAAAAAGAAACATAACTGTAATATGCTTATTATTCACTCATGTTCAGTTTCTTTTCTTACTAGAGTGATTCATATTTTCTGTGATTTACACTTATGTGCTATTGTATTGTTAGTAAATAGAGATGAATTATTACAAAGAAAATTGGACGTACTGCCACCAAACCCTAAAAGAAGAAAAAGTGATTATTTATGCAATAATACGCTTAATTATTTTTATATTTAAAACTAATGTATGTAAAATACTGAGCTTTGTGGTGAAATTCTGCATGATTTATTAATATGCATTTTGTTTTCTGGGGAATGGAAATGTTGGCAATGCTCTCAGCAACACTTCTTCCCATGTTTATGTGAGTTTTCAGGACTTTCCAAACACAAGCTGGTTGAGTGAATTGGCGTTTCTATATTTTCCCTGTCTACTTGTATGCACATAACCTTTGTGTACCCATTCAGAGTGTGGTTCTGTCTTGTGCTCTATACTCCCAGGACAGGTTTCAGTTTGCTTCAAATCTTACTGGCCACCAGCGGCTTCTTTCATGGACAGATACATTAACTTTTTTTCCATATTAAATAGCACAAGCTGCTTTCATTGCAGGTGTTCCTACATGAAAATGTGCTAAATGATGTTCTCATTTACAGTAACTACTGTATCATGGATGTGTATGAAATGAATGTTAGAATGTAATATGAAAATAATCAAAAAGTTTGACTTTTAACAAAGAAGTGTCACATCATCTGCAACTTGCAGACTGCAAACTCTGTCTACTCTATTTTTTATTAGAAGCTGTCTAACCTGTCAAAATTTGAAGCCTTCATCAGGATTTGATGTTGGACATTTCCACGTCCCTAGACTGTATCTAGTTGCTCTTCTCTGAACTAATTCCAGCAATACCTTGAACAAACTTGAAAACTATATTAAAAATGATGTCTTGCTAGTGTATCATACAATTGTTAACACTATTTTTCTTGATTCAACTGTATATTCAACATTTTATTTACCTTTCTAATTGTATATTTGTATATTATAATTGTATATAAGAATGCAAATAAAAGCATAAAAAGATGTAAATGATGTGCCAATGTAATCATATTTTTTAAGTAGTACAGGTTGGTAGCTGAGTCAACACATAATCTTAATTATGTCTTAATCTTAATGACGAACTTTAGTTCACCTTTTAAAAAGCCACCATATTGTATGTTCTGTGTGTCCATTTCTTT